ACATTCACCCATCCACCGTTAAACGTACAAATAGTAAACGAGATTTAAATAACATAAACGAGCGGTGTGAAACAAAGATATAAACTGATACAACGAAGTCTGATGAGGGTGCAGCCGGTCCTAAAACTGCCTAAAAACGAAAGAGGGATTCCCAACAAGAGGCAAGGACTACATCCAGGCTACACCATTACGAAGGAAGGAAGGGCATCTAAGGAAAAGCAACAAGGCGCACGGCAGCCCGAGACTTCCTATTAGACCTTGCTCGTTACAAAGATAAAATGAGCTGGCGACCGAATTCATAGAAACGGACTTACAAGGTAAAACCGAAACATTTAATAGATGTCCGGCTACAGTTGCACGACTACAATTTATTTTAATCCACAACAGGACATCAAACAGCTAATACTTACCTTGGAGGACCAGGAAGTAGCACACGAAGTTCAGGTAGAAGAGGAACAACAGAAGAAGACACCCACCGTCACAATATAATATAAGATTTCACAATTTTTATATTATAAAAATACATATTTTAATTTTTTACTACAATATTTAGTTTTCTATTCTATAGATAGGTAGAAACCGTCTGAATAAGAAAAATCTCAGGTCTGGAATTTAATTTTGTATTAGCCGCAAAAACGAGGTCGATAATGTAGGAAATAAGCTTATCGATGCTAAGTATTTATCTTATAAGTCGGCATTTTATAGTTTTTTGATATTTTCAGGTTATTGTGTAGCCGGACATTGATAAACTTCTCATTACCTTTGGTGTTGGTTTACCTTATTCGAGTATGTCCGCTCTTATTTGATTGGTCGCTAGCTTGTTTGTCCTTTACTACAAGCAAGGTCGTCAAGGAATCTTTGGGCTGCCGTGTGCCTTTGTAGTCTACTCGTAAATGCCCTTCCTTTTCCAATGGTGGAACCTCGATGTCGTCCTCGCCTAGTACAGGATCGCTTCTAGTCCTTAGGCCGCTACTGGACGGGCTGCACCATGCATCAGACTTTGTAGTTCACTTTCTCTTTTAGTCCCTCTTATCGTTCTTATTTAATTTATTTAAAGTTCGTTGTTTCAACTCGCTTGTCGCGCGGTGGATAGGTGAATGTATCTTTGACTCGAGTTATCAAAAAATAATCTTTATTTCACAAACTTAACTTAATCATTTACTCGGTCACACTCACACTTATAATCGTTTCCGTTCGAAAAGTCCTTTAGACTCAACAGGGCTTGAAGTCTACCCTTATTCGCGTTTCGCGTTTCGTCATTCGGGCAATGGCGTCGGTTGTTACGCAACACTTTTGATCCGCCGTTCTTTCGCTTATTAATTCGCGTTTCGCCCCTAAATGATCAAATTTTATTATCACGGCCCCTAAATGAACCGATCTTACGATGAGAAGCAACTGATCGCGCTTTTCTGCGATACTACGCAACGTTTTTAATAACCGCGCTCGGAAAAACGTCCTTCCCGGTTCGTTGCCTAAGTTGAACTCT